AAAAATCCCACTTTCATTTCTTTGTGTTTGATTTTTCGTTAAGAATATACAATTAATGTATCAAATTTGGTTGAAAAAACAGACACGTGAATTTCTGTCTTACTACCAAATTCATGAGTGTTTTGTTTTTAGAGAGAAAAATAAAATAAAATTACAGCACAGGACGTTCTTGTGAATTTATTCAACAGTACTTGGACAGCAATTTATAATGATAATATAATAATGCAGCAAAAAAGTGGAACCTTTTAAAAATCTCAGTAAAGCTACCACCCCATAGCCGCTGGCGGAAGAGGCCCTCCGCGCAGGCCCGGCCCTCCCAAAGCTCAAGGCCGCCGGTGACAATGCCGGGCACCAGAACCACCGGGTGGTGAGCGGCGAGTCCCTGGCGGCTCAGCCTCGCGCCCGGCGGCTCGGGCCCCTGCAGCCCGGGCAAGTTCACCGGCAAACAGTGGTACAAAAACAAAAGCAGCCACCAAATCGTGCAAATATACCCAATCGTCCAGAAACAAGAATCTATGCACCTCCATTGCCTCGAAAGCCCCTCCTTTGGTTTCTTTTTCGGGCTTTTGCTGCGCTCGACCTTTCGGGCCTCCAATTTTTGTGGCTTTTTCTCGTCGGGTGAGGGGCACTTGGCGGGCTGGAGGAAACAGATTTTCCTGAACCGGAGAATTGAAGCCATCATCAAAATTGGAGGTCGAAAAATTTGGAAATTTTGCAGAAAAGGGGCAGTTTAGTTAGAGCCGATCCATGTGAGTATTATTGTTAGTTTTGAGAGCAAGGAAAAAAAGAAGTAGAAATTTGGGGGAGAAAAATGGAGGGGAAAAGGAAATTGAGGAACACGTGGTGAGGAAAGAGATATGGAGGTGTTACTCTGTGGGTGCACCTCAAAAACAACGTAACACACCCCAAGAAAGAGGTTGAAAAGTTTTGAGCTCAAAGTTGAAAGAGGAGGAAAAAAGATTGGATTTTTATTAATAACATTAAAAAAAGATTCGATTTTTTTTACTTTTATCTACAGACTACAGCACTCGAGTCTAGTAGAGTCCTGCAAAGAGTACTACAATATTGGTTTTCCTAAAAGAGGGCTCTTTTATAACTTTGTATTGTCAAAATGATGATGAAAGTGAACTTTACCCAAGGCAAATCGACACATATATAATTTAAGCATGTAAATACACACATATGTATATAGAGATGGTGATTTTCATAGAGGGACACTTGTCTAACTAAATGCGTTTGCATGATTTGCCTCTCACTCAGCTATCGCCACTCTTTTTGTTCTCCCTTTTTTTTTTCTCTTTACTCATCTTCTGTCTCTATGTTTTCTTGAATGCTAATAATGAGAGGGAATAATAGTGTAGGGTGAAAATTACATGAAATGGGTCTCAAGAAAAAGTTTAAGTCCCGAGGTATGGCACTCTGCTCTGATCTGATGGGCCTGCAAATTGGTCACTTTTTATTAATTATAAGAAGAATACGACACATACCGTATGGTGTCCAAATATAAAAAATGAAGATGAAAATAGTTAATCAAAGAATTTCCCCAATCATCGGAAGGGAAAAACACCTCTGAAGGTTGATTGTATTTGTATACAATTTATTCTAGTTTTCACTGGATTTATTAGTTAAATAGAGTTAATTAATTTTTAAGAAGTTGATTGGATGAAGACTTCGTGAGATTTTGAGTTTTTTAATAAAATAATATTTAAATACAATTATTAAAGTTGATTTGATGTAATAATAGAGACAAATAATTTAATGTGATTGGTAATTAAAATTATTTGAACAGATGATTTGATTTGATTTAATGTGTGAGATTAATTGATATTGTTTAATTATATTGATAATATTGAGAAAATTTGAATAAAATTAAATTTGAAAAAGGTTTTAAGTTAAAAAAAAAAATGTTATCTTATAAACAATAAACTTATTATAAAAGATCAAGAAAAGAAAAAACAGAAAAAGTGCACACACTTCGAAACAATACACAGAAATCAATATCGCCGGTGGTGATGCCAACGGAGGTGATGACAACGGAGGTGGGCCAATTGCTGGGGATTTCTCAGACGGAGAAAAATAAGTGTTTGTGGATATATTTCATGCTAATAATAATAATAATAAGAGTTAGATTTGCCCGAAAGTGAAATCAGAGGTTGTTTCTAAACAGGAGTAAAGATTTAGGTGGTACTATTTATGACATGATATTGATTAGTTAGGGGTGATTGAATATTAATTATAATATGTTTAAAGTTATATTTAATAATTTTAATTGATATTTGTATACAAATATATTCGCTCAATATGAATTTTTCAGGTTAACTATTGTTCATTTTTAAAAAAATAGTATGATTAGTTATTAGTAGAATTTTGATTTAATATTAAAATAATATTTAAAGTTGATTTAATGTAAAATTAGAAAATAGATATTAATAGTTAATTATAATTATATGAGTGGATGAATAGTGAATTAAAATTGATATGATGTGTAAGAATGATTGATTGATATTATTTAATTGTATTGATAATATTGATGATGGAGATGTTGAGTTAAAGTTGAATTATATTTTGAGTATAAATTATGTATGAATTGAGTTAATTTATATATAAACACAGAGGTGAAAAATCAATTGAGAGTTACCACATGGCACATAAAGGTATTAAGGTTGGTCAAGGGGAAATTAGGGGTTGATGGCAACTTACCAAAGTAAGCATCATGGTTTGAATTTGAAACCAAAAGTCTTGGAGCCAAAACTCAACGGTACGGGCTGAAATTTCCACAACAAAAATGGGCCGATTTTTAGGAGTAAAGGGCCGAAAATAATAAGTTCAAAATGGACCATGGGTCGGCTTGATAAAGGTTCACAAGACGATCGCGCTTGGACTTGAAAACGAACGATTTTTCACTAATCGAATAAATGAATTTTGGAATAATCTACGTAGACGAGGATATCTAGGAAAACTATTTAACTCAAAAGAGTAAGGAAAATTCTATCCTACCTCATGGGATAGTGTCCTCATGGGATTTTTGGCCACAAATTTCACACACATCCACATGGGTGTATGTATGATTGTGTGTAAAACTAAATAGAGGGGGACGTCTAAATAATTTGAATGAACTTGAACGGATTTGTTGAGCTAACAGAACAAGCAATAAACAAAGAAATTCACACAGACATACAATAATTAAACCAACTCTCAAAATCGAACGGGGCACTACACCGTCGAAGACCTCCGGCAGCCTATCGAGCCCGCCGCCGGAGCAAACCCGAGCCATGAAAGTCGTTGGCCTCCACAAACCCTCCCAGGCTCAATCACCGAAAAAGGGTGTGCACCTCCAGTCGGCAAAAGTTGGCCGGCCAGCACTAGGTCTGCTTCCTCAGTCGAACTGCCGCCTCGCGGTCCTCGCCGACAGAGTGAACGTCGGCTTCCTGCAGCAAAAACTTCTACCATTGGGCCGGCAGAGTGAACGTCGGCCAGCACAGGTCTGCGGATCGCCCATTATTTCGTATGATCTACCAGCCACACTCTTCCCCATTGGGACGCGACGGCTAGAGGATCGCCCATTATTGTCGAAGCCCTCGAGGCTCCACTGATGGGGCTTCGATCGAAAATCGGGAACTATGATCTAATTTTTGGGATTTGGGGCAGGGATTATTTCTGAAAATTAGATATATTTTGGGAGTTAAATTGCAATTTCTAAAACTTATGATTTATTGTAATTTTGTCCTTGAGGTTAATCGATAATTAATTTAAAGTTTGAATAATTACACTATGGCCATTGGGTTTAATAATTATATAAGTAATGCATAATTTTACTTCTTGTGCATATTTAAATATTACACCATGCATATTCAAATATTACACCATGGCCACCATTCTTTTGGCCCTCTTCTCGGAGCTTGGCGTTTCTCCAGTTGTTTCATCGTCCAAATCTCCCCTTGCCGGAAACATCACTGAAATTTTTCCGGCTAGTCTATAGCCTCTTGTTGGGGTTGATTCATTGGTCGTCCCCTCCTGCTGCTTTTGGATGGTCACCTGTAAAAACCCCCCCCCAACATCCTTTTATATGTTGGACATGTGGTAGGGTTTGACGGGTTGGGGGGTGGCGTGGCATTTTCTCGGCCAAGTGGTCATCACTTAAGCCACTTGGGCCAATTGGGCCACCTGGCCCCTTTGGTCGGACCTAATCCTACTCACCAGCCTTTTAGCGAGCTTATGGTCCACACAACTCCTTCGGGCCTCCTGAGCTACTTCTAGATGGGCCTCACGGATCCCTCGCTTCAACCCATAGCCAGCGGGTCCTTGGGCCCCACAGATTTCTTTGGACCGCAAGTATTGGGCCTTCATCTTCCTTTACTTTTGGCACTTTGGGCCAGTTCCTGGGCCCATCCTCCAGCCCACTTCGATGTTCGTAACTTCAGTAGCCCAACCCTCTATCCACCAACCCATTGAACCCACTTCACATGCTTTCTCAGCCTCCCACAACCATAGCCCAGCCCACCCCCTTTTCTTTACAGCCCAAACACCCTCAACCCACTCAACCCCATACAGTCCACTCACCTCAGGCCATATACTCTTCAACCCACTTAGCCAACTCCACATCCAACCCCTAGCTCGCCAACTCCACATGCAACTCAGCCTCTAGTGGCTGCCACCTTAGCCGGCCTGCTGGTGGCCGCCGCCGGCCGGCAACCTTAGCACCCACACCAGCACCGACGGCCCCCAAGTCTCTGGAGATCGAATTTTCTCAGTCGAAATCTTTGGTTCAGGGAACGTTTCTCAACTGGCCCCGTCTTGCTGACAGTCGGACCCACAACCCCGGTCACCGGAGCTTCTCAGGTAGGATTTCCTCCTGTAGGCAACCCGACGGGCATCACTATGAGCCTCTCTATGGCTCCCGAATCCATCCCGACCCCTTCCACGACCTCCATCAGTCCTCATTCTTTTCGGGACGCGATCACCGACAAATACGCCGGCGTGACATAACAACAGAGATTCACTTTTGACAGCTATCGGGACAACCTTCGGAGGTCTATTTCTCGTTCCGAGGAGGGACGACATACAATAAGTCTCCCTGAGCTCGTTGTTTCTTCTCTTGTTGAGTCGTATAAAGAAACCCTGATATTTAAGCTTTCATATACCGACCCTCACCTCCAGGATTTTACTGGTGGTCCATGGAAATTAGGACATAAGGGTAGCGCCACACCCAAGTACTATAACTTTAACCATTACTTAGCCACTTTTGACCTCAAGGATGATTATAATTCGGCGTAGATTGACGACGACTACCGTCTGCGGGTGCACTACCCGAGTGTTTAAATATACCCCTGACTTCTCTCCCTTGACTGAGGCACCCCCCTCCCTCTAGTCTGGTGTCGCCTCCCCGGTCTTCTCCCTCATCTTTATAACCCTTCTGTACTCTTTTCGATTGCCAGCTGCATCAACAACCCGGTCGTTGCACGTGTTTGCATCGAGATAGATCTCCGTAGCAAGCTCGTTCACGAGATCAACCTCAATCAGGCAGGGAAGATCTTCAGTGTTTAAAGGGGGTGTATTCCTTTTAGATTCTAAAAGACTTTTTAGGATTTTACTAAGAATTGGATTTTATGAAATTTTATCAATTCTCATGGATTTTGTAGAATTTATTAGAAATCCCCAAAAGTGACATGTGGTATTGTTCAAGACTTTTATAGATTTCTTAAGACTTTTCAAAGATTTTGTAGACTTTTATTATTGATTGAATAAACATCAATATTAATATATAAATATACATTATGAGAACTTGTAAGAAAGTTTATACATGAAAAATATAAATCAATTTGAACAAGGAGAAATGTGAATTTTTTATTTTATCGTTTACTTATTTATCTTTTTGTACAAAAATAGTCCAATTTGTTATAATTTTTTATTCTGTTCAATAAACCACATAATACATATAATAACTGTATTTTTTGTCTCACTTATAATTTTTCATTCTATCAAATGAACCACATAATCTCACGAAATAATTATATTTTTGACTGACAACATTAATATTAATTATATTTGAAACACATATTTGGTGATATTATGATAATAATGTCTAACAAACACTTATCTTTAAAGAGATTCTATAAAATTTTGTGTGGAAAATTAAAATATTGGAAAATATAAAGTAAAAAAATTAATAAGATGCAAATTTGATGAACACAAAAGTTTCGCGTCTCATACAATTTCATATAAAATAAAAACAATAAGCTAGTCCAATTTCTACTTTATAGCATCATTCCACATTTCATTTGCTATTGCATCCCTCCATGCATAAGCAACCGCTCTTTGTTGTTCTTGACTTTCAAACTGTACCATTACCAACTGCAATTCTCATATCTCCATTGTCTGGATCAGGGGCGGATCCAGGTCATTAAGTGAGTGAGAGCATAATTTCTTTTAAATATATAATGCATAATAAAAAAATATAAATAGAAACATATACCTTTATAGTTATTCGTATGATAATTTATATCTTGACATCGATCTTTTGAAGTTTTTATTGCATTTTCTTTTGGCCCAAAATATTAAAAATTAACCATAGATTTTGGACTGAAACTTGCTTATTTTGAGATATTTTCACATTTACTTTTTTTGTCTAAGGCATTTTTTTTAAAATATTTTTCCATAATCTGATATAAAAATAATATTATAATTAGTATATAAAATATATATTATAATTAGTGTATAAAATACTTTGTTTTAATATATCAAACTTTCAAGTGACCTACAATTTAAGTTATCAATCACATACATATTAAAGTACATGATATTAGGCTTTTCGATCGTTAAAAAGAATTAGTTGATTACAAGAATGCTAAAATATACATATTATTCCGGGACTGTTTCGTAGTTAGGGTTCTGCTACTGTATAGGCTTGATTGCAGTTTCAGTAGTAGGTTCTTGGCTTGGATCTTGTGTAGATCGTTCTCTGCTGGTTCGGGCTAGCTCGTTCGCTGGGGAAGGGTGGTTCGATTTATTTTCGCTTTTGTGTGTTTTGTTTCTTATGTTCTTGTTTATGTGTCTATATTTGTGTTGTGAGTGTCTTGTGTTTTTGGTATGGGTCGTTGGCCCCAGTGAGCCGAGTGTCAAACTTTATTACCCTGTGGGGGTCAGACACTCGGGTATTACCCCGTGGGGGTCTTTGTGTTGTGTTGTTGTTTTTTTGTGTTTTTTAGTGTTGTTGAGCATTACCCCGTTGGGATCGGTTCTAGGCGGTCTTTTGACCTGTCCTCCCAGTTTTCTCAGATGTTAGCTGTTTATATTCAGTTGTTGGCTGCTTATATTCGGCTGGTAGCTGTATGTTTGCGCATTTGTGCCCTTTTATAATATATCTATCGTTTCGGCCAAAAANCTCCATTTTCTCTATATTTTTCTTCTTCGCAGTAGGGTAGTGTTTCTCAATTTCTGTTATTGTTTTTAATTAATTATGTATTAAGGTCTTTCTTGTCTTAAGGGAATCTAAGTCCGTCATTGATTTTTTATTTATTTTTTTCAGTGTGGATATATGTAGATACGCCCCTCGTTTAGATGAGGGTCTGTCCGTAAGCTTAAAATTTTAGGATGAGACTGGTAAAACAAAGAAAAAACATTGTAAGTTGTACCGAACTTCTTATTTAAATTGTTAAGGTATGATTTATTTATACAAAAGCAAACAAAAAAAGGGGGGCTAACCTTAAAATAATCTTCCCAAATTTCATTATTCGTAGTGAAGAGCTTTGTTGTGGAATCTATATATATATAATTGTTGGCTCATGAGCATTTAATAAAACCTATTAAATTAGACCTATATGACAATATAACTTTTTCCCTCAAAAAACCGTTACTTTTTATTTAAAGAAAATTACACTTTACCTACCGAACTATTCGCATTTTTACGCTTTACCCACCAATCTTTTTCCGACGACACTTTAACCCTTGAACTTCAGGATTTGTTACACTTACCGACTTCCGGCCATCGGACTCGCAAAAGGGCAAAGTCGACCTTTCAGGTACTAATTTTGGACAAGGTTGTCCTTTTACAGATACAACAATCGACCCTCTTTATAAAATACCCAAATCAGATTTTATGAAGATCAATCCCTAAATCCCCAAATCAGAATTCTAGGGCAAAAAGAGAAGAAAATGTGGAGGCAGACGTCGGAGGTGACCTTGGATGAGTATTGCACTTGTGGAAAGAGGACGGTGATGGTGACGTCGTGGACGGACAACAACCCTGGAAGGCGATATGCGACGTGCAAAGGGGTACGAATTTTTTTTTCGAAATTCAGTGGCAAACGTTTTGAGAATGGTTGGATTGTTCTTGATTTGTTTTTATTTTACATTGACTTGATATTTGTTGATTTGTTATTACATTGACTTGATTTGTTCAAGAGTGGTTGCAAAGGGGTACGAATTTTTTTTTTCGAAATTCAGTGGCAAACGTTTTGAGAATGGTAGGAATGTTCTTGATTTGTTTTTATTTTACATTGACTTGATATTTGTTCTTGATTTGTTCAAGAGTGGTTGCAAACATTTTGTGTGGACGACCCTCCAATGTGTACAAGACCTCGACAAATTATCCCTGGACTTTTGAGACGCATTAATCTGGCAGAAGCTGAATTGGCAAGCAAGAAAAAAAGGGGTGAAGTGGCTGTGGTGTGCTATTGTTATTTCATGGATCATGATGTTTTTCCTTCTTAAGAAGTAGGCAGGCTAAGTTGTTATGGTGTTAGACTTATTTTGTTATCTTTGTTTTGGGTGGAGTGATTGTGGTGTGGCTAAGTTCTGAAGTGAAGTATGAAGTGGTTTGTGTAAGACTTATTCAAAATGTTTTGTGTAATGTGGTTTGTGATTCAAATGGTTCGTGTAATGAATGTGGGATTTTGGTATTGTAAGGCTTTTGTAAGACCTGTTCAATTTGTATGGAATGTGCTTGGATCCCTTAAAACTTACTTTACATATGTGTATGCAATGATTGATCTTGATTTGGTTGAACTTGGTTTGTGTAGTGTTTTAACCTGTTCAAGTTTTGTGTAAACTTTGTGTATGTGTAATGAACTTGGTCCACTGATCTATCATTAATCTGTCATTAATGAATTTGGTTCAATTTGTTTGAATGTGATAGAACTTGTTCACAACACAACACATTAATCTGCTTCAATTTTGCCTAACTATCCAAAACCTACACAAAGTTGCTTGAACTATATCAAATGAAACTGCAAACACAAATGCCATTATCCAAAGTGCCATTAATAATGAAATCTGAAGAAAATCACAAATGTCATTGTATCAAAACCAAAGATCACCATAATGTCATCATAACAATCACCAACATTGTATACTGAGAACAATCACCACAATTGTATCAAAAGTACACCAACAAAGTTTTCAAATAACACCACTGACACAAAGTTTAGAAAATAACACCAACAAAGTACACCAATTCTGGGGCATGCTACTTCTGTTGGCTCTTTTTGGGGGAGAAGGTACTACTTCTGGTCACTCTTTTTGGTGGAGGTTCTTTAGGTGGTACTTGATTTGCACTAGTCTGGCTTGAGGTCACAGGTGGCTTGGTTGTGGAGAATCTCACATTATTTCTGCTGCTTCTTGGGTTTTGACCTATTGGCTGAGTAAAGGCCTTTGGTTTTCCACATGTGCTACTTCTTGTCATTCTTTTCTCTTGAGTGAAAATGTTCAGTTTTGATTTAGATGATGCACTCTGACAAACAAAAAATAAGAAAAACAGTTAGGCAACTAAAAACAGTTTTTGATTTAGATGATGGACTACACATTGTACCTTTCCTTCTCCATTAGGTGCACTTGATGTAGCATTAGTGACAACCACAGGCACATTTACACCAGTACTTGTACCTTCAAGACCTTTTTCCTTATTCTTCTTCAAAACAACAAAAACATTAGTGACAAACTCCCATAATCAGAAGCCACATAAAAGCTCACAAGAGTAAAACAATTGATTGATATAATATGTACCTTCCTTTTTCCATTAGGTGCACCTTCAAAACCTGTTGATGTACCTTCAAAACCTTTTTTGTTTCTCTGAAAAGCAAGAAAACATATCATGTCCTTGAATTGTGATTTTGTTGCTTGCAAATTGAGCAAGAAAAAACATATCAATTGATGTACCTTTCCATTTCCACTAATCACTGGCTTAGTCTGAGATTTTTATTTGTCTGAGATTCCTTTTCCTAATGACAAAGCAAACAAAAAAATATATCATACACATAATAGTAATCCGAACACAAAGTGAGTTAACATAAAGTAATCACCTTTCCATTGGTACTAGCTGCTGGCACATCCAGACCTTGGTTGGTGGGTCTACTTTGTGGGTTTTTATGGCAGCCCCTTGAATTGTGATTTGGTTGCTTGCAAATTGAGCACTTCATGACAACTCCTCTTTTGGTCAGTTTCAAACCAGTAGCAGTTTCTACCACTTTCTTTTTTCCTTTTGCTTCATCCTCGACTTGTCTTCTATTATACTTTTTGGGCCTCCCAGGTAGGTTTCCAACAACTGGTGGGATTAATGGTAGGTTTTCCACCTCTGGCCACTCATCAGATCCACCTATAGTTCCCATTAAGTGGCTATACACCCTCGGATATGTTTCTTTTTTGTATGCATCATCCACATAATCCTCTGGGTTATGATCCAAGTAGTACATTCCTGGTATACCATGTGCACAAGGAATTCCACTGAGCTCCCACTTTCTGCAGGAGCAAGTTTTTTCCCCAATGTGCACCCTGAACTTTGTACCTGAGCTGCCCTCAACCTCAAACTGATCTTCCCCATTCCAATAGCAAACAAACTCCATGCTCTTCTTTTTGAAATCTTCAAGCATTTTCTCAATTCTTGGACACAGTTGCCCATGGTGCTTTCTCATTTGATCCCTCTTTGAATGAATTCTCTTCATTAGAGACAGTCTTATCATCTCCAACATCTTGACTATTGGCTGAGCTCTAGCCCTCACAATAGAAGCATTAAAACTTTCAGAGAGATTATTGAGCAACACATCACATTTTGAATGTGTGCTGAAATGAGACCTAGACTAATTTGCAGGTGGTCTAGCATTTAACCAGTCAAATGCAGCTACATCTCTCTGTTTCAGCTCAATCATAGCCTTTTGAAAATCCTGAACTCTTATGGCTCTTGCAGCTTTCCACAACAAGCTCTTAAGAGTCAAACCCTTATGTGAGGCTTTAAAGTTAGCATAGAGATGTTGAACACAAAACCTATGCTCAGCCCCAGGTAAGAGAGTGTCAATGGACTCTACCAAACTCTTTTGCTTGTCTGACATAAAGGTCCAATGGTATGGGTTGGTTATTTTCAAATCCTCAATCAACAACTCTAAAAACCAGCCCCAAGATTTTTTTTTCTCTTTTTCAACCACTGCATATGCCACTGGATACATGCCATTGTTTCCATCTATGCCCACAGCAGTCAACAAGACTCCTCCAATTGAAGTCTTTAAGTGACATCCATCTAGAAAAAACACTGGTCTACACCCATCTAACAATCCATCCCTTAAAGCCCCCCAGCAAATGTATAACCTCTTAAAAGAGGTTTGTTCCTCAAGCAATTTACATTTGATTTTAATTGTAGTGCCTGGATTTTTGTCTCTGATTTCAGCAGCATAAGACCACAACAAACCAAATTGTTCATGATGGCCATCAGATCCAGATGCTAACACCTTTTTCTTAGCCCTATAGAGTTGGCAATTGTCGAAAAGAAGCTTGTTTTCACCTTGCATGATTTTCATCATAGAATGAACAGGCCAAGTAGGGTCAGACCATATTTTTTCCTTATAAGTTTCAGCTAACCACCTAGAGTTGGCATGAGATACTCTTTGATTCCTAGGGCACTTGTGTGTAGGGTTATACTTTCTAACCTGCACACTGTCCTCACTTGACAAAAGTGCAGCATAAATGAGCCATGGACAATTACTGTGGTTACATTTTACTTGGACCTTGGTTTTCTCATTAATACTAAAAGTTACATCTGTAACATTCTTTATTGCACTCTGCCTCACTGCTTCCCTAAACTGATCCATATCAGGGAAAAACATTCCTATTTCAAATTTAGGTTCACTCATATCTGTCCTCCCATTGAAAACTACATGACCCTTGTGACCCTTACTACATTCTGTCCTCATTGTTCCATTGCTTGCCTGACTGTGAGATGTCTCAGTCCCTAATCCCCCAAAATCCACATCAAAATCAATATTATCATCAAAAAATTGATCATCATTCTCTACATCAGATGTTTCACCTTCACTATCTATCAAAATCTCAGATAACTCAGAATCTGTCCCCAAAGATTGCTCATCATCATCAGAATCACTATTCAAACTATTATCAAGTTCATTCATACCCACAACATAAGGGTTTTCATTCATCAAGTATTGATCATTATCACCTATAAAATCCAAACCTTCAGAAACTGCAGGAAGTTCAGTTTCATGATCCACATACAAAGCAACTATTCTATCTACATCCTTCATGAAACACATTTGCATGACATCATTATCATTTTCCAACAAGATTAAGTCATTGCAGTCATTAACTCCACCCTACTGCAATATACACCTTTAATTGAATTCAACCCTAATTCACCTATCATGCTCATTACCTCGATCAGTGACATTTCATCGGGATGGCAAAAATCGACATGTGAGACTCCACCGTTCAAATACATCTTGCAGCCTAAATCCACAAATTGGCCGCCATGGTAAACCCTAATAGTGAAATATTCATCATTTTCACCTGCAAGACAAACAAAAAATGGTGTAAACACTTAAATCCCCAACCCCAGTCCAACACAAGATCATAAACAAAACAATAAGCAATCGAAACTGACAAAGAACTTCAAATTGAAAAAACACAAAAGGCTTACCATACTCTGGGGGATCCATATCATTCTTCTCGCGTAATTTCCAAACCATTGCTTGAAAAGGCGAAAAAATGCAGCTCCAATTTGAGAATTTCGCTCTTTTCGTTCGATTTTTCGAAGTGGTCGTGCTTTTTAGGGTAAAATTAGGGTTATGTATGATTTCAATTCTGGGTTTTCCTATTTCAAAGTAATTTAGTACCTGAAAGGTCGACTTTGCCCTTCATTTTGCGAGTCCGATGGCCGGAAATCCGTAAGTGTAACAAATCCTGAAGTTCAAGGGTTAAAGTGTCGCCGGAAAAATATTGGTGGGAAAAGTGTAAAAATGCGAATAGTTCGGTAGGTAAAGTGTAATTTTCCCTATTAATTTATTTAACCTCTCATTTAATTATTAGATAATCAACACACTAATCACTTCAAAATGACAAAAATCATTTTAAACTTTTGATTTACTTACAGCTGAACATATAATGTGTTGACTATTTAACGTGATTAGATGTTATTGTTGTGGTTACATATAAATTAACTTCTTTTGGAAAATAAAAAACGTATTTGAAATTCCTAAATAGATAATAAATAATTCACAAAAAAAAATACATATCAAAATATACATTAAATCCAATATGATAAACACAATTTAAAAAAATAAATATTCGTAAATTTGGCCTACAAAAAAGTGCAAGAAAAATCACAATACTTTATTTATATTTGTGCAAATGCACATGTCAAATACTAGTCCCATCCAAAGCCAGAGTTATGCCGCATAAGCTCATTGTACTTGGCATATTGTTTCTTAAAATATTTCACTCGACTTATATATTGATTGTAAGTCCTGGCGATCCCTAACTTTTTATTCAAAGGTTTAACTATATGTCTTTCGACGGTTATCTTATTTATTTTCCCAGCCGCGTGATCACGCCAACCACAATTAGAAACATCAACCATAAGTTTCAGAAGTTCATTGCTCTCTTCAATAGTCCAACTTCGGCCTTAAGGATTAATATATCTTCAACACCAAATGCAAAGAAATTATGTGAAATAACAGAATGAAACACATATGCATGCAAAGAATATTATATGAAACAACATAATTCAAGTATTGTAAACAATATACATGGTTATTACATGAAATCCGCAAAAATAATACAAACACACAAATTCAGTATTGAAACTTATCACTATATATGCGATTACAGGTCCCAAAGCAAATTCAGGTTTCTGAAAGACAAAATCCCCAAGTCTCGAAAATTTATATATTAAAGAAGAACACCGTGGGTTGAAATTAATTATATAAATACAACCAGAAAAAAGAAAATAGATGAAAAACTTGCATAACCACACAATCTCCTCACCATAATTCACAATAAGAAGCCGTGATATATGTCTCTTTTGATCAAAATTATTGTGTACCCACAAGTGATGATAGGTAATCATTTATCAAATTTGATACACATTTATCAAAACCGCAATTGTCATACAAACAGATAATAGGTAATCATCTAAGCATGAAAACTTATCAAAGAACAAATTCATTAAACATAAAGCAGAAAAAAAAAAGACAATCGTATGCGATTTAACTATATAGAGATGCTCGTAAAACATATAATCACAAGAACAAATGTTGGTACGTTTTAGAACAATTCAGGAGCAAAGTAGAGAAGATAAATCATCCCCTTTGTAAGAGAAATCGTCCCCTCGTAAACCCTTTCTCGCAAAAATCTCAAAATCTCTCATCTACTGGTGGGTTTTGTAACGGGATTTCGTATATATACTTTCTCACTAAAATTTCTCCAAATCCAAATAAATGACAAATCCAAAAGAATTGAAAAGGAAATAAATATCTCTTGATTTTATGGGACTTTAAAAAGTCCAGATTGAATACCTATGGATTTTAAAAGACTTTTAAAAAGTCATTGAAAATCTTAATTGAATACCTCTAGATTTTTTAAAATCTTAAAAAGTCTCATTTAAATACAACCAGATTTCATAAATCCTAAAAAGTCTTTAAAAGTCTTTAGGATTCTTAAAGGAATGTACCCCCCTGAAACACGAAGCCAAAACGGTTCGAAAGTCAGTCTTTCTCTTCTATGGGGATTGCGGGTTGTGCCTCGATCGGCGCCGGATCTAGGGAATATGGCTGGCAAGAAGTGGATCCATATTCAACCTTTCCTCGCCTGGTGGCTTGGGCTATGGTCCTCCCAAGTACATCGACCCTCTGTTGAGTTAATGGTTCATCATACATGCCCAGACATATATCAAAAACCAAAATCAATCACGCCACTGGATGACCTAAAGATTGCGTGGTTACGCCTCACCTGTCAACTGTCAATGAACACGGAATGTGTCCGCTCCGTACCCTCGTTGAAGGCCACAAGAAGGTGGTCCCCATTCTAGAACTATTCAAACCTTGAACACAAGATCGTAGGTAATACTCACAGACAGGAGAACCATTTATTTATTTTGTATTACTACAATACTGAATTTTTAATTTATTTTTAGTTCAAATTATTTTTTATGCACCCGTGTAGTATACGAGTGTCGTGCTAGTTTCTCATTATGGTCTAAAACAATAATGAAAAACATTTATACAATCGTCAAAATTGTTGGATCCAACAAGATCCAGTTAATTTGATCAGAATTCAAAAGGATTAAACGAGACACGTGGCACAATCATTACAGCGAGTGGGCGCAAGTCCCCTACACCTGCGAGTAGAAAACACACACGCGGCTTTAAGAAAATGAGAAGGAAGTACTCAGTAGGGCCAATGAACTTGTGAACCTCCTCCCTCCCTTTTCCAGCTTTAAATACAGTCACATTTTATTTTCCGACATACCTAAAATCCCCTCAAAAGTCTCTCTACATTTGGGAATAATAAGCTATATCGGCAAAATTCTGAACTGTACTTCTTGTTTTTAGCATCCGGAAATGGCGACTGGAAGACTAGATCTGGACGGGAATCCGATTAAGCCGATCACGATATGCATGATCGGCGCCGGCGGTTTCATCGGCTCTCACCTCTGCGAGAAGCTGATGGCGGAGACGCCGCACAAGGTCCTGGCCGTCGATGTTCACAGTGACAAGATCAACCACCTTCTTCAATCCTCCTCATCGTCCTGGGGCGATCGCATCCAGTTTCACCGCCTGAACATTAAGAACGACTCTCGCCTCGAAGGTCTCATCCGCATGGCGGATCTTGTAGGTTTCCTCGCAATTCTCTATTTATTGTCTGCGTTTTTCTTTATTTTTGTGGATATTGGTTTTGGTATGTCTGTCATTAGGGTCTGGATCTGGATATTGTGCTTATTTGAGTTGCTTAATTTGGTTTATCGGGGTTATCCCCTCTGTTTTTCCATACGGTTAGAATGTTGCTTCCTGACATTAATTTTTTTGATTCGTGAAAGTCTTCTGAAGTCATAATTGAATTTTGAATTTGAACATCGGTTTGTTCTGTATTTATTTCTTAATCAGGAGTTTGTTTAGATCATTAATGTTATTGGTTTTGGACATGCGTTAGATCTAAACCGACAATTTAACTTTGGCTACTATAACTATCTTGATTTAAGTTTATTTTTCGATATTTGTTGTATTTCTATGTTCTTTTTTCTGCATCACCTTCATCGTCTGTCATTCTAATGTTCATCTCCAAACTGTTTTATTATACTATGTTAAACAATTACGAGTGCAACTTTTGACTTGGACTGACTCTTTGATTTTTCTTGTGATTCAGACCATAAATCTTGCTGCAATATGCACTCCAGCAGACTATAACACACGTCCTCTAGACACAATCTACAGCAATTTCATCGATGCTCTCCCTGTGGTAAACAGCTTTCACATTCTCTTCATAGATTTTCTTTTTCTTTTTTTTTTTTTTTTTTTTTTTTGANTTTTGAATTTATGGCTTGTTCCAATTAGTTATTTACTGTTGATGGATGCTGAAATTAATTTGACTTTTCATGGATTTAGGTTAAATACTGTTCAGAAAATGGAAAGCGCCTCATACATTTCTCTACTTGTGAAGTTTATGGTAAAACAATTGGCAGCTTCTTACCCAAAGATAGCCCTCTGCGGCAAGTAAGTACCTATCTCATTTCCCTTTGCTTACTAAATTAAACAGTTGTGCTGTACTGCTGTTGTTGATCTGATGCAATATTTGTCAATGCCTGCCTTTTTTTATTTTAACTTTTCTTGTGTTAAATAATACTTAGTTATCTTGTTTTATTCTGTACAAAGAAATTGATATGGGGTATATTTTCCATGTGGATCTTAAGTAGCCCGTCTGTCCTCTCTGATACCACAAGTACCATGGTTTTTTCATGGTGAATTGACACGCTTTTGCTCATATTTCTCAACATTTATTAGTAGATCTACGTCATGACCCTCTCAAAACTGACCAAGTTTGATTGAGGAGGAAAGAGATTTATTCTTTTATGTCATGACTTTTATCTCTTTTAGTAAAGGGTGGACATGTGAAAAACCACTGTGGGAGGAAAGAGATTTATTCTTTTATGTCATGACTTTGATTGCTGTGGGAGTTTGCCTTCTATTGTTTAAGGCAGGGATACCCCTTAATTTGGTTGATTACTTTTCCGTCACTAATCTGAATCATAACTATCGCCTTGTATCAGGACCCAAATTATTATGTTCTTAAGGAGGACGTCTCCCCGTGCATTTTTGGCTCAATTGAGAAGCAGAGATGGTCATATGCATGTGCAAAGCAGTTAATTGAGAGATTGATTTATGGTGGGCTTTCTCTTTTTGTATACCTGCCACATAAATATGCATTTTCAGAGTCTAATGCAGTTTGTGTTGTCTTAACTACTGTATTTTATAGCCGAGGGTGCTGAGAATGGTCTTGAATTCACAATCGTGAGGCCTTTCAACTGGATTGGTCCCAGGATGGACTTCATACCTGGAATTGATGGCCCAAGTGAGGGTGTTCCAAGAGTTTTGGCCTGCTTTAGTAATGTAATTCTATATGATCCACTGAATTTGATGACCATGTACAAAGATTTCAGCTCGTCTTATTTTGTGAATTTGCTAATCTGTATAGAATCTCTTGAGGCGTGAACCGCTAAAACTTGTCGATGGTGGTGAATCCCAAAGAACTTTCATTTACATCAAGGATGCAATTGAAGCTGTTCTTTTGATGATTGTATGTGCAATTACTGGCTCTCACTTTAATTATCTTCTATTTTTTTTTTTTTTTAATTGTTGCTAAGTGGTTCAATTTTTCTCAGGAAAATCCAGATAGGGCTAGTGGTCACATATTCAATGTGGGCAATCCGAATAATGAAGTCACTGTCAGGCAGCTTGCTGAGATGATGACTGAGGTAATTTCAGTTTTTTTGTAATCGCCTTGTATCTATGGTTGATTTTCAATTTTATATAATATATTGGTAGTGTTTGCTGATTCATTTCCTCTCTGTTGACTTGCTTTCAGGTCTACACTAAGGTTAGCGGGGAACCTGCACTGGATACACCGACCATAGACATAAGCTCGAAAGAATTCTATGGCGAAGGATATGATGACAGTGACAAGAGAATTCCAGATATGACCATTATCAACAAACAACTTGGTAAAGAATTGCTATTTTCACAAATTATGTCCTGAAATCACTAATATTCCCTTGAAAGTGTTTGATGGGCCATAGTTTTGAAGGGAAACTAATGTCTTAAATTGTGTTATGCTAATAAATCTTATGGGAGCTTTTGTAATTTATCCCATTACGTTTTAAGCAAACGTTAATGGTTTCTTTCTGTTGAATTGTTTTTGCAGGATGGAACCCAAAGACCTCTCTCTGGGACTTGCTCGAGTCGACTTTGACATACCAACACAGGACGTATGCTGAGGCTGTGAAGATGGCTACTTCAAAAGCCTTTGCAAGTTGAGGAAAATTGATCGGTATTTGGTTCCATTTGATGTGATGCTCTTGGCCGGCAATTTCTATTCGTTTACTGTTCATTCGATTCATTTCTCGTATACCAAATATGGTTCCTTCTTATGCATAACAAAATTATCCATGTATCTCTTCTCTCGTGTATGTTAGTGTACGGCTCCTAATCGTTGTAATGATCTTTATGTCTTGTATTTCTGTGAGATGTCGCTTTAATAGATATTCAATTGTAGTTTTTTGTTATGGTGACGAAGAGTATGTGCTTAGGCAATATCCTCGATATCAAGAGTAAAACCTAGTATTGTATTTTCCAATCATTTTGGCACAATGATTTCCCTTTCTTAAAAAAACTTTTGATTTATGTTTTGGATCTTAAGGGATGATTTGTCTAGCATTTCAAATGAATTTTTTTACCATCCTTTTGCGCCCTTAGTAACAATATTAAGAAAAAAAATAAGACCTAGATTATACAGGTAGTAATTGATTATTAATGAAATTAACCTTACTCTTAAACTCATCAATATTTGTTTTTCCTCCACAAGTTTTGCACAAATGTTAAATTACAATGGAAAGGAAAGGATTTGATAGAAAGACACTTGATTCAAGTTGTCAATATAATTCATCTGTATTTTCATCATACATTTTACAACAAAGGGAAATGGGGTGAGCGACAATTCCCAGATGTGTTTTGCCAATTGAGAGTTATTTTAAAGTTCTCACCTATGAGGGTGTATTGTTATATGAATGGACTCAATCCATACTCAATTTATATTTAAAATCTAACACAATTTTAAGTAATCCTACTATCTTCAATATTATCAATATAATTAAATAATATCAATCAATTATTTTTACACATCACATCAACTTTAATTCACTATTCATCCACTCACATAATTTTAACTATCACTTCATATTATTCCTTTCATACTTTTATATCAAATTAACTTTAATTATTTTATTTTAAATATTATTTTAATATTAAACTTCCACTAACAACTAACCATACCACATTTTTCAATATTAACCCTGGTTAACCAAAAAAACTCGTTTTGAGCGAATATATTTGTTACAAACACGCCCTAAATATCTCAATTGTGGTTTTACCTAGGCCTGTAAACAAGCCAAGCCGAGCTCGAGTAACAACTAACCATACCACATTTTTCAATATTAACCCTGGTTAACCAAAAAAACTTGTTTTGAGCGGATATATTTGTATACAAACACGCCCTAAGTATCTCAATTATGGTTTTACCTAGGCTTGTAAACAAGCCAAGCCGAGCTCGAGCTTAGGGTGCTCGTGCTCGTGCTCGAGCTTGAGCCTAAAATCGAGCTCGAGCTCGGCTCGTTTACCACTGTTAATGAGCCGAATTCGAGCCGATCTTGAGTTTTAACGAGTCAAACTATAGAAAGTTATATAAAAATTCTTTTTTCGAGCCTTATTGAGCCGAGCCGAGCTCGACTCGTTAACCAAACAAGCTTTAAATGAGCTCGAACTCGATTCGTTTATCAAACGAGTCGAGCCGAACTCGAGCCTTAACGAGTCGAGCCAAGCCATACTCGTTTAATTTAACAACACTAGTTTTGCCCGCCTTTAGGGGTGAGCAAAAGAACACCAAAATTGAAAAAATGAGTCGAATCGAAGACTTCAGTGTTGTTCGATTCCCTTTTTTGGAGGGTTCGGTTTTGGTGTTGTTTAGTTTATTAAAAACCGCAATAACTGCGGTTCGGTTTGATTTTGTATCCAAAAATGTCGATTTTAACTGAACCGCACCACAAATTTTATATTCCATTTTTAGCTACACATGTAAAGTTGCTACGCAATTTTGGCTTTCCAATAATAATAAATAAATAAAAAGCATACAAATTAAAGCTGCCAGAAGGATCAAAGGTGCAACCCTATTCCATGTCTTATTACTTAAGAAAAGGGCAGCAAAAGAGAACTTATTGTTGGTATATGTGTCCTAGAGACAATCTTTTTGAGGACATATATACATGATCACATTAATAATTATATTGGATTATAATTATGGTATTGCAATTAATTAAATAATTGTTTGATTGTTTGCAATTTATTAATTAATTGTTCCCTTGAGTTAATACTGTCATTAACAGAGTGGGATGTTAATTGATAAAGTATAACTCTCAAATCGCCTCAATCGATGATCATTAAGAAAGGGATATTAATGATACGCGATAGATTGACATGTGGTCTGCATCACATTCTTGGAGAATATAGTATGTCTCACTGCTATGAATAATTGTTATTCGTGATGGACACATGGATACTTTGGAGAGTATTGGTATACCCTACCAATAAACCCTTTGTTTATGTGTCTATGGGAGTATCGGTGTGTGGAATGGTGTAACAGTCCTTTGACTTGAGTTCAATATGCAATTCATGTATAGAGTGATTTACTTAGACCTAGTCCAAAGCTTACGCCCTTATGGGTAGATACGGGCTTGTGTTGGGTTGGTCACGATATACATGGAGTTGGTAGTTGAGCCAAGATAGAATTCATTCCTCGAATATAGTTTCGAGAGAACACTCGTTTTCTCTATACTGGGTTGATAAAGTCATTGGTTAATGCACGTGATTATATTTGAAATAGTGTTCAAATATAATTGATAAAATCAACTAGTGAGATGAGATAAAATGATTAAGCTGTTTGGATAGGCACACGTTCAAATCCTAAGCTTAATCAAGTGGTTCGTGAATGAAGGGACTGTATCACTATTGAATTCTACACCAAAGGTTTGTTTGCTTGTCCATGTAAACGTACTTCATATTTTGAGTTCGTCCTTCGATGCAGTCTAGGAGTTTCGTAAGGATCATAAATTATATTTATGTCAATATATGAAGGCCTATAGGGTCACACAATATGCAATTAGTTTTCCGAATAAGAGTGAATCGAGAGTGTTAAATATTCAATTAGATTGGAATATTTATTTATGAGTAATGAGATTATTTTCTATTTGATAGAAAATATTTAATTAAGTTAAATTAGATTTATACTTAATTAATAATGAGATAATTTTATATTTGATGGAAAATATTTAATTAAGTTAAATTAGATTTATATTTAATTAAAATATTAATTGGATTAGGTTATTGGGTTGTAGGGTATCCTAAGGCCCATATAATTAGGTTTTGACCTAATTATAAATATCGCATTATCTCTTCATAATAATTAATGGTTGGATCGATAAGAGAGACATTGAGAGATCCCAAACATCTTAGAGATTGAGAGATCAACAAAAGACAAAACACTCTCTAGCTTTCCGGATCGAGGATTCCTAGCTTCTTCACCGGAAGGGATTCATTGGCGTTAGATCGTGCATCGGGAAACTGGATTGCGTGGATACCATAGTCGAGGACAAACGACGAATAACTGTAAGTTTCGTGTATCATTCACGCGATCTAGGATCATATCGAATAGCTATAGCCGGATCTTCGTTGTTGGTAAGAAAATTTTAAAATTCCGCAGCGCGTGCGATTGATTCGTACGACTGAAATCTAACACTTATTTGTGCCAGAACCATGACCATGACAGAGTATTTAGGGCTGAGCCTTCTGAAATTCTTGATAGGCGCACCTTCCTTAGGGGATTTGAAGAATTGCTCAGATTTTGGTAGATTGGGGTTATAAGTCCCAAGAAATCTTTTTTGTGGGAGGATGAAAAATATATCAAGAAAAAGTTTTCCACCTTCGATCCTTGGGGACAAGGATCTAAAGATCGGAGGGAAGTTGTTATGAATCAAGCTGGAATGCGAGAGAATTCAGATAAGGAAATGAAGAAAATGGGAATTCAAATGAAGGAGACAGCACTTGGGTTCGATTTCAGACAAAGGAGATGAAGGGTTTCTTGAGAGGGCGACACGTGGGCGGTTAATTGCTGAGGAAGAATCGGGATCCAACCATCCACTTGGCAATTGATTAAGGCGGATAGATAAATATCATTGCTATATGTATTTAGCATCTTTACTTATTAAAGTCATCTTTATTTTGTGTTTGAAAAATTAGTTATTTGGGGTGGGGCCCAATGATACTATATATCAGCTGGAATGTAACAAAGTAAGGGTTATGCAAAATATCATTTTTCAACTCATACTATCTCCCAATTTCTGCTCTCTCTCTTTCTCTCTCTCCTATTCTCGTACAATTTCCTCCATTAAAGTAAATTTACAGAAATTTAAGAATACAAATAAATCCAAGATCATTACAGTGCTCAATCTGGATAGGAAGTCAGGTTACCATTTGTAGGATGACCGTCGACTTCGACGCCTCGGTTTCTTTGGATATATTTAAGATATATGCAAGCAACCAACAATGAAATTTTCAATAGGTTAATTATTTTCTCAACGAACACGAGTACTGCCATCTCTTCTAATTTAATGTCAATGATTGCGTCGAGTATCTAATACATATGTTATAACTTATGTTGTTCCACTTATAAAGTAGTATATGACTATTGTACATTGTGTTTTGTTACACCGATAAACCAAAAATATAGTGCGAACAATTTGAAACTATATTTTTCTGAAACATTTTAGTACGTGACAACAATAAAATTAAAGACAATGATAAAGTGGTCATATTAGGTAAACGGTCTTGCTATGGAGCCATCGGATGACTCAGCTTATGGAGCCATTTCTGATTAGGTAACAGTTTTGCTATGGAGCCATCAGATACCCTAAAAAAGTTATGAATGGCCCGTGCACCAAAAAAATCATTTGAACTCCCATGAAATTACTAGTTTACTGAACCAAATTGCAGAATCACAAACAAATTAAAAGGAAAAAAATTGAGAATCAAGTATTAAACGTGTAATCCCACTCGTGCGGTCAACACAATATACATGAATCAGGGAAGTCTCCTACTTTTACCTCCACTTTTTGTTTTCAGACCTAATAGCATGATAGGGAAATGGTGTACGAGTAGAGACCTCTGCATAAAAGGAAAATCATAGAGATTCCAAAACGCATAGGAAGACGACCCCTTTTGTCAATATTATTTGAGTCCAGAAAAATGATGCAAAATCATGGTCCATTGATGTATGGGAAATTGTATATGCATACCAAGTTCAAAGAAGTTTATTAGGTGAGGGAGTTGTTCGTCGTCCTCCACTCTTCAGCTAGGGTTCGACAATGTGGTGCCAGATTTTTGTAAGCTCCTCTGTGTGTGTGTGTATGTGTGTGTGTGTGTGAGAGAGAGAGAGAGAGAGAGAGAGAGAGAAGGAGAGAGAGAGAGAGAGAGAGAGAGAGAGAGAAGGAGAGAGAGTTGAAGACAAGACCTAACTTGTGTTAGTATTATATACTGAAAGCTTGGCTTTGCATGTTATTATACTTTTGCCCTTTATGAATGAGAATCATGTTGGATTAAACAAGTTCTACGTTCTGTTGTTTTGCACTTAGATAGAGTGGGTCGTCATCAGGCGAACTGAAGATCACTCTATCAGTCACTTGCGAAACAAGAATAGCGGTTCACAACCTAGATGGAAATGAACACCATCCGAATGGTTGTAGTGTCAACTGTATGGTTTGTCTTGACTAATTAGTTGCACTAGTACATTTATGTATTGAACAAGATCCCAGAGAGGAGAAGTTCGTTTTATACTGATCGTCGTAAACGAACTAGGTCTCGGTTAATTACTGTATTCTCTTAACCCGTAAGATATTAAACAGGCATATATATGTAGTATATATTACTTTGATTCATTTGGGTGAGGTTCAGTTCGTTGGATTAATATTTTTACTGTTTTGGGTAATATTACTATATATAGGATGTACTGTTAGGATATTTACGGTCACCATGTGCGTTAGTTTGATGATGTCCCCGGAGTGAGTTCATGAAGGATTGTTATGCTAAACCCTACAGGTGGATTAAGTTCCGGCATAATAAGAATGTGATGAACGAGCGCTAGCTTCGGTGAAATAATAATAAATTAATTAATTCTTGATTGTCAGTAATCGAATTAAGTAATGGACATTATATCTTAAACGTGGGGAGGTAATTTGAGTAATTATAATTGGAGTCTCAAATGTAATTTGAGTTAGGAAAAAGGGGGTTCAATAATATTTATGTTGGTGGTCCATAATATTATCTAATTAATTAGAGGAGTGAGTTTGACCCACAGTTAGTCTAATGAATTAAGGAGTCCTATTCCTAATCTCCTAAGGGTCCCTACTGTAGCTCTACATATACATCATTAATCTCATGAGAAGAGAATCAATATGTTCATTCATACAGAAACACACGCCGTCCCACATCTCTCTCTCTCTCTCTCTCAGTTCTCATTCGAGCTTTATCTTCTTTTTGTTGCTCCACCGGTACAAGTTGAAGAAGGGTATTTGAATAATACAGTAGAAGATCCATAGGTAATCGAGACCCGATAATCTTCTACAGCAATTGACGATCCACGACCCGAAGGCCGAGGACCGCTGACCGTCGAGCCCGCCGGAGCCCAGCCGCCGATCGTCGTCGCAGATCGCGACCTGATCCGGCTAGCCGCGATGACTAATCCGCGACATGACTCGATCGGCGACGCGCGACGACCCCACACGAGGCCATCCGATCCGACACGACTCGATCCCGCCATCCTGTTCATGTGATCCAGTTCCGTTTGTGTGCTGCTCCCGGTCATCCCAAATCCATCAGATTCAGAAAGTTTTAAGCCGTAAGTTTTCTACGTCAAACCTTTAGATCCGCTGCGCATAGGTTTATCTTTGATATTGAATTCGTGATTTATACATAACGAGATCCTCACAGATCTCAACAACTTGTAAGCTCCACTCTTTAATGATTAATGCTTTAAGAGAGAGTTGACGACAAGAGCTAACTTGTAAGCTCCACTCTTTAATGATTAATGCCTTTTAGGCTGTAAATTTGTTGATTTGNAAATACATACGGTAGAGATGTACTAAATCATAGCACCTCCCCGAAGATCAATAAATGTGTAAAAGTGACAATAAATTGTTGTGCAGTCACGGCCTAATGTTAGACGGGTAGGCTGCAGTCGTGGTAAACAAACATAAGATTGCAGCCGAATTATGCCCAAATCTTGTCTGATCGTGGCAAGCATGGGATGCTTAGAAATTTTTGTTTTGTTTGAATTTTTTTATTTGATTTGGTAATTTTGAAAAATGTGGTATGGTTAGTTGTCAATGAGTGTATTAAAATAATATTTAAAATAACATAATTAAAATTGATTTGATGTAAAGTTAGAGAGAGATGATGTGAAGGGTGGTTAGTTAAAATTATGTGAGTTGATGAATAATGAATTAAAATTGATGTGGTGTGTACGAATGATTGATTGTTATTTTTCAATTATATTGATAATACTGATGATAGTGAGGTTGAGTTTAAATTGAATTTAAGTTGAGTTAACGAAAGTGATTGAGTTAAAAATGTTTGAATTTTTTTTGATAATTTTTGTATCCAAGCATAACTTGAATTCCTGGGATACAAATATACATGCTCCATTTCTTCCTACCCTCTACAATGAGCATAGAAAATTTTTAACCAGCACACATCTCTCATTTATCATGCTTCTGTCAATACAAAATAAATTTTGTAACCACCAATCATTTACAAATAGTTATTTAAAAATTCTCAAAACTTTCATTCAATGTGCATTTTTACGGGATTCATCCGTGAAGAAGAAAGTTAGAATAATTTTTTTTTTCAAAATTAATCTTATTGAGAACAAAAGACTCACCGCTGCCAACCAAGTCGGAAAGCGCCTCGCGTCTCATCTACTGCCACGAATTTTGAGGCACAAATCATAATTTTTGGGTTAAAACAATGAATAACTGAGAAATTTGTTTATTTAATTCAAACGTGATATATTGTTGAAACGTGATAAAGAACTATAATACAAAAACTTTTTTTTACACAACCATGGAAAGGCCACCCTCGGTAGGTGTTGAAACAACCGATCGTGGATGGAAAGGCAAATGATAGGGACTCAGAGTGAAGTTTGTATTATCGATGAAGTGATCAAGGCTTAAAGGAAGTGCAGAGAAATTAATGAACTAAAATAAGAAACTTATTTTTAAGTATATAACTTAAAATACACATGATTAATAAAAAATCATTCCATTCAATTTAAGTATAGATTATTTATCCATGGTTCTCATGATTTCATCATTGCCTCGCTCTAAAAGTAATTATACAGATCAAAATCAAGACCCAAACTTTATATTCATCCCCTCTATATATAATTTCAGAATGCGTTGAGCCTATGTGGCAAACTCTCATGCTTCAGAATCCTATTTGACAAAAAAACCATGCTTTGGAGTTAGACTTGTATATAAATTAATATTTTTTATCACACTAAATCCATGATTGATTTTTTCCTTCTTTACTTCTACAATTTGTTACCATAAACTATTTTATGTTTTATTTTCCTACATTCTCATACATTACATTTCATTTTTTATAATTCATTCATTATTTTTTATAAATGTTTCTTCTTCTTATTTTAAGATTTTATAATTTTTTTGTTTGTAATTTATTTTTTATATATGGTATATCAAATTAACTATCTTTTAACGATTTTCGACTTGACATCCATATTATATATATAAAATACAAAAAGGTAATATATATATTTATAAATAAAATTTAAATTTATTTATCAAACTAAATTAAATTATATCAAATAAAACTATAAATTATATTATAAAGTAATAAAAATTAGTATGTATTTTTGTAAAAATGATATTTATTTCATATCTAATTGGTATATTGTCAATCTAATCAAAATAAATAATTATTAATCTAAATTCTAAAATTACATATAAAGTTAAATAATGTGAAGCACGACTGATACGACACTTGATGTATTAGGCATCTAATTAAGTAAAAAAATTAATTTATTTTGCTTAATATTAAATAAACATAATCTACACTTATGCATATACATATCACCATATTATTTCTATTTATTAAAGATATATATTTTTGTACTTTTGTAATAGTAAATAATATCGATATTTTTATATGATATAAGTAAACAAATTCAACACGGGTTGACATTTCCATTTAATGTACAAGTGTTTAGTTATTATGATTAAAAAAAATATAATTTGACAATTTAATTAAAACTCAAAGTAATGTTTTATATAAAATTAAATTATTTTAGTTTTAAATAAATTAAAAAATTAATATTTTTTACAAAATCTTTCTAATTCAACACCTGTGTAATACACAGGTATTGCACTAGTTTTGTATTAGGGAAAATTTTTATTTGCCTCCTAAACTTTATGATTCTTTTCACTTTGCCTCCGAAACATTATTTTCCATCTGATTACCTCCTTAACTTTGCGTTTTTTTTCATCACCCTCCTCCATCAGCCTTCCGTTTCGTTCTCCGTTAATTCCTATCTTTAAATTCCCAATTCCTTCTTCAAACCCTAACATCCCTTCAAATCCCTAAGAACTCAGCTCCGAAAATTCCAAAATTCTGCCTTCAAATCCCTTCAAAATCAGTGAAGAAGAGTGTTGTGAAGAAGTGAAATCATGTGGACACAAACATCTGAATTTATTATGGATGATTTTTGTCATTGTGGAAAAAGTGCAGTGAAGAAGACCTCTTGGACCGACATGAATCCAGGAAGACGGTACTCAACTTGCAAGAATTTTTTGGTAAGTTCAATTTGCTTATCATCGATGTTGAAAAACTACACATTTTCAGAAGCAGAATTTTATTGAAACTCCTAATTTTTTTATTTACTCCCACATTGATGTATGATTTTTTTCCCCCTCTTTTTGTAAGTTTGAAATTTGTGATGCATTTTTCCTTTTCTTGATAATCAGGAAGTTGGAGGTTGTACATATCGTTGTTGGATTGATCCGCCGATTTGTGCAAGGGCTCGACAAATTATTCCTGGCCTTGTGAAAAGAGTGAGCATGCTTGAGGGTGATGTATGTCATGGACGTTGCAGAGAGAAAATATTGTGGCTTGTTTTAATTGTTTCATGGTTGATGATGTTTCTTTTCTTTAAGTAGAAGTAGTAAATGTAGTAGAATAGAATGAGTATGTAGTTGTTTCTTAATGCAATCAAGTTGTGAACTGAGTAATGAATATGTATCTGTCATGGATTGAATCCTTTTTCTAATGCAATGAAGTCCCTTTTTTCTTTCATATGATGTTTGTGTAATGGTATACTGGTGTTGGTAATGCAATGGTGTTGGTAATTCTTTGCTCTAATCTAATGCAATGGTGTTGGTGAACTGTGAACAATGAGTAGTGAATATGCATCTGTTTCATTTTGCTTTCGTTTTTCTGGTTTTAATGTTCTCTTTGATGGGCGTTTCTACTACCCTTGAGGATGGTTATATGATTACTTTGTAATGAATATGGAACAATGTTGGTATGGCTTATATATTGACAAAAGAAGGAGGCAGGCTGATGCCTGCGAGCGTAGCGGAGCGAGCGTAGCGAGGGAAGCGGAGCGAGCGTAGCGAGGGAAGCGGAGCGACCGAGCCGAGTACAAAGCTTACGGTACGGGGTATTTAAGTAAATTTATACCTTATAGGGTTATATTATAAATACATGGTGTATTGATGTATTTTAATTATCGAGAATAATAAGAGATCACTCCTCTGTCATGGACGTAGGCATATTGCCGAACCACATAAATCTTGTGTTGTTTACTTTCTCATCTTTAATTCGTATTGTCATCGTTTCACAACAAACAAAACTCACAGTTAGCAGTAATACAAACAAGAATGAAGGGAGTTTTGACATAATATCACAGAGGCACCATCATTTTTACTATAGCCATTGGAGTTTTTGTGTATGATTCTACTTCTTTTCTAAGGAGTACAACCCTGGTAATCACATGACAAAGTAATATACAAGATTATGTTCCAAAAAACAAAGCATTGCCTACACAAAATGATGTCAACCAACTGATCATCTCACAAACTCAGTTTATTAAAAGGTAAATCAACATTCTAACACAATCTTTCACAGGCTCTTCAAATCCAACTCCTGGTACACTTCACTTAAAATCCATCCAGAAAAAACCATGTACCATTCTCAAGAAAAATTGAGTACAACAGCGGCGGCTGGAAATAAAAGGAAATTGAGTACTCAAAAGCTTCACAATTGCATTGCATCATAAAAAATCCAAAAGTACCACAAGTGTTTGATACAAAGCTTACACCAATCAGAACAAATAAGCTTACACCATAAGTCAATGTTCTAATAGTTTCTCATTTCAAAACTAGCTTCCAACAGAACAAATAAGCACTTCACTAGACTTGCAAATCATCAAAACCAAAAGTTACATTGTTCTTGAATGAACTAAGAACTTGTTGTTTGATTGTTGGCCACATTTTTCTTGGAGCTCCTTTTTGCTACAAGTTTTTTTCCCTTTCCATCTCCATTGAATGGCCTTTTCTTGACCTGAAACAAAACAAGGCAAGTGAAGGACTTAAAAAACATGAACATAGATTTAATTCATTTATTTGACAAAATACAACAAGTTGTAAAGAAATACCTGTCCACTAGGGGAATTAATCTCATGTGCAGCTGGAATTTCCCTTTCCCTTTTATCTTTAGCACTTGGGCAACCTCTAATATTGTGGTTAACACCTCCACACCCACTGCATTTCATGATAGCTCCTTTTTTCCTTAACCTAATTCCACCTGCCTTTGTCTGTGTGTGAGAAGACTTTTGGGAACAATTTTCATCTGCTTCTTTCCTTCTAGCATACTTCTTGGGTCTTCCTGGAAGCTTTTGGGAAACAAGTGGCATGAGTGGGGTGATATCTATCTTAGGCCATAGATCAACAGCATTCAATGCTCTCATCATAATGGAATATGCCTTCAAGAAAGTATTTTTTTTGTAGCATATATCCACATATTCTTCTGGCTTATGCCCAAGGTAATACATGGCACTAATGGCATGTGAACATGGAATTCCATTCAACTGCCACCTCCTACAATTGCATGTTTCGTCTCCAAGGTGCACTTTATTGGTTGAGCCAAAACACCCCTCAATCTCAAACTTATCTTTCCCATTCCAGTGTGGTATAAAGTCCATAGCTTTTTTCTTATGCATCTCAAGTATCTTCTCAATCTTAGGACAAAAGTCCCCAGTATGCCTCAACATCATATCTCTTCTTTTATGCATCCTTTGTATGAACATCACTCTAATATATTCTAGCATACTGATAATAGGCTTTGATCTAGCCCTCAAAATCATGCTATTGAAACACTCTGACAGGTTATTCAACAAAAAATCACATTTGGAATGGGTGCTGAAATGAGATTTTGACCATTGAGAAGGGGGCTTTTCAGCCAACCAATCATATGCATCATGATCTCTCTGTTTCAGTTCTTTCATTGCATTTTCCAAATCAAAACTCTAGTGGCCCTTGCAGATTTCCAAAGCAGGTTCTTAAGGGCTAGGCCTTTATGTGCAAGCTTAAAGTTCTTATACAAATGCATGTCACAAAACCTTACCTCAACACCTGGAAGAAGTTTATCAACTGCCTCAACCAAACCCTTCTGTTTATCTGACATGATTGTCCAATGAAATGGATTTTCAATCCCCAAATCCTGCACTAGTAACTCAATAAACCAACACCAAGATTTTGTTTTTTCCTTTTCAACCACAGCATAAGCAAAAGGGTAAATACAATTGTTCCCATCAATACCAACAGCTGTCAAAAGAACCCCCCCACATGCAGTTTTAATGTGGCAACCATCAAGAAAAATAACTGACCTATATCCCTCTAAAAGTCCTCTCTTTAACGCCCCCAACAGATATAAAACCTTTTAAACACTGCATGGTCACCCTGAAGCTTACATTTAATTTTTATGTTTGTCCCCGAGTTGGTTTTCCTAAGCTCCTCAGCATAACTTCATAACATGGTGTATTGCTCAACATCACCCCCAACACCCTTTGAAAGCACAAGTCTTTTAGCCTTATAGAGTTGCTGATTATTAAATACTAGAGATAAATCCCTTTGCAAGATGAACATCATTGACTCTATAGGCCACCCAGGGTTTGTCCATATTTCTTCTTTGTATTTTTCAACAATAAACTTGGCATTAGCATGTGACACCTTTTGTTCCCTAGGACAAGTGTGCTTACTTGACAGAGTTTTAATGATCATTGTGTCTTCATTCTGACCTTTAGAGGCATAAACTAACCAAGGACAAGATTCATGTTTACACCTAACTTGGACCTTATTTTTATCATTAATTTTAAAAGATATGTCCCTTCCTTGTTTAATAGCATGCTGCCTAACAGCTTTTTTGAAAGTTGCAGTATCACTAAATTGCATTCCTAGTTCAAAAACAGGGTTGACCATGTCTATGCTAGGATCAAAAACAGGACCACCATTATGTCGTAGTTTAGATGAGTTATTTGACTTGCTACTTTTCTCTGCAGGTTCAGGTACTTTCACTTCAGGATTATTCAAGTCTACCCCAACCCATTCAACCTCTTGATCGACATGCAAGTCAAACAACTCATCATCATCAGAAGCCTGTTCACATTCACTATCCAAGAACCTTTCAGAAAAATCAGAGTCTGACCCAACAGATTGATCATCATCACTTTCATTTAAATCAGATAACACCATATTGACATTTAAATCTATGTTTTCCACATTCTCACCAACAAATTGTAAAGGTTCATCTATTGTTGGTAGATCATGAGATGGACTACCCACAAAATCTTTCATCCATTGACTATCTTGATCCACCATTTTTTCATGCTCAACAAAAACCCCAACCATTCTATTCACATCAAGAAAATTTACCATATTTAGGACATCAGAGTCATTTTCAAGCACCATTAAATCAGAACAATCATTAACCCCACCTTTACTGCAATGAAACCCAAAGACCTCTTTCATTCCTACTTCATCAAACATACCCTTCAGTTCAAGTAATGACAACTCATCAACATTGCAGTCATCTATATGAGCAACATCACCAACCAAATAACATATTTTTCCCAAATTTACAAACATACCAGAATGGTGCAATCTGATAGTGAATAACTGGGATGATGAAGAATAATCTCTGGAGGCTTCGCCATTGTCACCCCCTTTTCGAACTTTCCAGCCCATGTGAGTATTTCGATCTCAAATTCAATTTTCGAAGGGATTTGAAGGCTGTGAATTTCGAAATTTTAGAGTTGAGGTTTTAGGGATTTGAAGGGATGTTAGGGTTTAAAGAAAGGAATTGGGAATTTGGGGATGAGAACTAACAGAGATTAAACGGAAGGCTGATGGAGGAGGGTGATGAAAAAAAACGCAAAGTTAAGGAAGTAATCAGATGAAAAATAATGTTTAGGAGGCAAAGTGAAAAAAATCGTAAAGTTTAGGAGGCAAATAAAAATTTTCCCTTTGTATTATAGGCAAATTCCGTCCAACAACAGACGAGGTCAAATCCACCATGTAGATAATAANAAAAAAAAAAAAAATTAAATATAATATATATTTTGTAGATAAAAAAGACCAAAAAAAACAAGACTTTCAACTAAATTGATGACAATTTAAATCAAAGTACCACAAATACGTTAATAAACGTTAGGAAACAAAATTAAATAAAATACAAATATAAAAGTCGTCTCCTTCTACTGTGCGACGGCTTTTCCAATCTCTCTCTCTATATCGCAGCTCAGAACACACTTTCTCGCCCTTCACAATTACGCTCACCAACAAAGGATAATCTTTCTAGCGATCAGGATTCTCTTACTTCTTCTCTTTCTGTTATCGGATTCCATATTCAATTGAGATCTGTGAATTGGTGGCCATTGGATCTTGAGGATTGCTGGATCTGAGGCCGTTTTGAGATGGCGCTTTCGGGTATGAGAGGATTATCGGTGTTCATTAGTGATATTCGAAATTGTCAGAACAAAGAACAGGAACGCCTCCGTGTAGATAAAGAGCTGGGCAATATTCGGACTCGCTTCAAGAATGAAAAGGCAAGTCTTTACATGTACTGAATCACATGGTGGGTATGCTCTATGTTGGTCATTTCAATTTTGCTGTAATTTTTAAAATTCTGTCTTTAATACGAAATTGTTGCTTTTGGAAATAGATACTAGCTTGAACCGAGAGCTTTGGTGGAATCAGTTTGAGTTTAACTTATTGAACTAGGTGGAACCATGCAGTTGAGTGAGGGTTTTAGAATGCAATTTCTCTGGACTGAAGGAGCATTGCCTTCTTCTTTTATTGGTGAATATAATTTTGTGTTTTGATTGGCTTGGTAATATTGTTGAGTGGATAAGTCCATTTAGGAGCTGCTAGATACTTCCTTCAGCATCACTCATAAGGTAAATTGAGAAAGAAATATCGTGGCATTTTGAAAGTGTAAAGTGTTTCTTCCTTAGTCAGTTGCAGCAGAGCCAGACTTTTATCACATCACATGAACAATTAAACAGTGTATGAGTTGCAGTAGTTGTGAAAAAGTTCCAGATGTGTGGTCATCTTGTCAGACACTGTGATAGACTGATAGTTACTTGGTTTCACTTGAAATTCATGAAAGGATACAGAGTGGCAGAATGAAATGGATGCAAATTCTTGGATGGAGGACATTTGAAAATATGAGTAGGTAATTGGTTTGGCACAGTTGCCCTAGTATGAAATTGGAACTTTAGCGGTTGGACCAGTTAAGGATAAATGTGATTGTGGCAACCAGGATCAAGGGAAGTCCCCTGTATGATGCATGATTTTTGGGCCGTACTGAGATAATTAATATGTTATCCATTGATTGTTAACATTTGGGAAATGACTCATTTTTTATCGAGATTATACACAAACCATTCTCTTCTAGAATGAATATATATTAGTACCTCTGTTGTGCACTCTAGTGGAAGTATTCCTTGCTGGTCATGTTATTGCTAGTTGCTCAATACTTTGAAGTTAACTTCATGTCTTTCTGGGGGAGCAGTGGGGGGGTGGGGTGGGGTGTATTTATTTGGGATTTTTTTAAAGATTTGCTGCGACTTTAAGAATCCTGGTGTATTTAATTTGGAATTTTTAAGGCTTTTAAGTCACAAGGTATTCATTTGAGATTTCAAAAAGTCTTAACAAATCACAAAGTATTTAACCTATTTGACACTGAGATTTACTAAGTCTTGAGTATGTGCAGTGTATTTCAATTGTGTTGCTATATTTGTTAAATATTGACTTATGAGTTTAATTAGTTGCTTGTATTGTGTAGACTTGTTCATATGCCTAGTTGGAAATTTGCTTAGGATCTAGGAAGAGATTCATATTGTACTGTATTTTTTCCAACATTTCTAATACATCCGTTACACAACAAGTAGGAGGTGGTAGTGTTTTGCTGAGGACTATTACAATCAAATAGGCAATGAATCATATAAATTGATTAAAGGAAGATAATAGCTATAAATATCACCTGCATAAATGAAAGAATTGCATTCACTTGAATGTTTGCAATGTCGACATAGCACAAATTACATTTTCCTGCAAATAGTTCATCAAGTGACGTTTCTATTGCAGGACGTGTATAGTCCTTTTAGTAGACATGCGTGTAAGCATTACTATAAGAAAATTATGCAGCTGGTATAGTTGCCTAATGCCTAGGTAATTTAGGAGGCAAGGTTGCTGAGATTCAATGTTTTTTACGTATTTGCTTTTGAAAGCGGATCACACAATTTGTTCAATCACCTGGTTGTTTGGAAGTTGATTGATGGGAATGGATAACGAACAGTCAAGTAGGCAGTTTTCTCCTACCAATATTTGCGGCCAAATCTGCTCGAAAACATTGTAAATAAATGAAACTATTTGTGTACAATTTAGTTGATAGGATGCTAGGATCTTTTCATCACTCATAAAAATATAAATAATTATTCATCATTATTATTACACAAATAGTGATGCTTATAATTGGTAGGTTGCTAGGATTTTATCATACAAATTTTTTGATTCTTAAATAGTTATTATTTTGTTGTAATATTGATGACTCTAGGAGTTCCTTTGCATGTTTAATGTACTTCAGGAAAAAAATAAAAGACAAAATGTTATTCATTCTTCTCTTTGCCTTCTGAAATGGACTACTTTGATCTTGAATCCACATCCTTTTTCTTTCTCATTTTGTGGGAAAAAGTGTCAGCAAAGTGCCAACCTTGTACAACTAAGCTCTGGAAGAGTTGACCATGGCTTGTGAATACTCTCATCAGTGAAAATGCTAAGACGTGAATTTTATGTGTTCTCTCTTTTTTTCCTTGCTTTTCTGGTAGAGAGGTTGTTATATAATTGATGATCTTTGTATTTAACCATCCAACTTATCTGCCTGAAATTTGATTTGTAAGTTTGTCCTCAATACGTGATCCGAGTAATTACTTCCATTAATATTGTTGTTTTTGCTCTGAATTATTTTCACCAGGTTTGAAAATAGGAAAGCCAACACGAGTTTTCATTCCTATGCAAATCCATTGCACCATAGTTAAAATATAGTTTTTGTTATTAACAGGGTTTATCACCGTATGAGAAGAAGAAATATGTCTGGAAGATGCTTTACATTTACATGCTAGGTTATGATGTTGATTTTGGTCATATGGAAGCCGTGTCTTTAATATCTGCTCCAAAGTATCCTGAAAAGCAGGTATGTCCTACTCCGTATAGCATCACTTTCTTACTTATAACTTGATCATATGGCTGAGTTTTCTTGCTGATTTACTTTTGTTTATATGGAGCGTTTAAGCATTAACACTTATATCAAATGATTGAATCACTAAAATGGGCTTTCAAGTCTCTTGATTTCTGGCTATTCATTGATGATGTTATAAAGGAGTTGAGAAGGGTAAACCTACAGAAGTTTTGTTTACCGAAGACTGTCGTGGTTAATTATCAAGATGCTGTGATAATAGAATGTAGTAGTGTTGGATATTTGTTGAGTCAATTTACAAGGTCGATACCAATTTCACTGTCAGGTTTTTAGAATCATTGTGTTTGTTTATCACATGCAAACTGTTAGAGATCATTTTTTATTTCAATTAAATTAATAATTGGGCTTTTTGCCCCTTTGCTTAGAATATCCTCTAGGGTTATATTTAGGGTTAGGACTCTATTTTAGTAGACTGTCGATCAATACATAGGATTTACTTTTGTTGAATTGAGATTGTCGGCCTTAGGCTTGGGCGAGAAGTTTCTTCTCGATTCTGCGCTTTCGCTGGGGACATGATTCTCCTGTTTGTTTACTTTTCAATTTAATTAATTTCAGTCTTATTCTTTCCAAAACACTTCACTCTATCACAAACATAATGAATCTACAGTTGTTGAGCATTATGTCCAGTTGGCCAATGATTATCTCAACATTAACTGAGCAGTTCATTGTGATGCTTAAAGAAGATTACATTAGTTTTTAAATTTTAAGTAATATGTAAATAGTTCCAGTTGGGTGTTCTTATTGCTGTTAGTAGCAGAGTAATCTGAGAGATGTAAGGTTATGTGGCCAAGGGACAAGGGAAAAGGGAAAAGGTAAAACTTCAGTTTGTTATGATGCTTGTAGAGGGACAAGCAAGGAAGTACTGGTCTTACTGTATTTAGTATTGATATTTACTATTTTCTGGCAGGTGTATCATGTCATAACTATTAGTACTATTCAGTGCGCTTGCTCTTATCATTATAATTAGGAACCTCAGTGAATAAGTTCCATGATTTTTATAGTTCTGCAACAATAGTTGTCCAAATGCGTATTATGAATTGTTGTTCATAACCAAAAATCATTAAGGAATGCTTGTAATCAGTGATAAGGAGGATGATGTTTTTCTGAATGTTCTGGAGAGGATAATAAGTTAATAACCTCAGTTCTGGAGTTAAATTTCTCATCTTCTATCCTCATTTTCATTCATGAATATGATTTTAAACTAGTATGCTAGTAAACATGTCATTTTTATCTTAGGAATCAATAGGAATATTTTTGTAGTATTTTGACCAGCTTTTGGTTCAATGAATGCATTGGTAGCAACAACGTCTTTACAAGTTTTAATGTTATTATCTTTCATGTGTTCACTGGTTTTATATTGCTTTGACTTGTTACAGGTTGGCTATATAGTGACATCTTCTCTTCTCAATGAGAATCATGATTTTCTGAGATTAGCTATTAATACCGTGCGCAATGACATCATTGGTCGCAATGAGACTTTTCAGTGTCTTGCTCTGACATTGGTATGATTTTGGTCTATATTTCACTGCAAGTGCTATATGGAAAGTTGGTACAGACATTTTGGTTTACATAATGATTTGGATGTTATGTTTGAGTCAGTCTCTTCATCTTTGATATATGCTTCCTAATATGGTTTCTTTATTGTCTTCCTCTCCTTAATTCAAACTTCTCGTATGTATGCAGGTTGGGAATATTGGTGGAAGGGAATTTGCTGAATCTCTTGCTCCTGATGTTCAAAAGTTACTTGTAAGTGAATACAATTTTAGTAATAAGTTGGACAACTAATAATTGATGCTCTGATAATTATTGTTTTTCCAGATTTCTAGTAGTTGTAGACCTCTTGTGAGGAAGAAGGCTGCTCTATGTCTCCTTCGTCTTTACAGAAAAAATCCTGATGTGGTCAATGTAGATGGCTGGTATAGTGTCTCTCTGCCTTTTGTCTTAGTTTTATTAAGTGCCTTGACATCTAATACTGTTACTGTTCACCTTTTTTGCAGGTCAGATAGGATGGCGCAGTTGTTAGATGAACGTGATTTGGGCGTTTTGACTTCCTCAATGAGTCTTCTTGTTGCTTTAGTGTCCAACAACCACGAGGCCTACTGGAGTTGTCTACCAAAGTGTGTTAAAATTTTGGAAAGGCTTGCCAGAAATCAAGATGTTCCACAAGAATACACTTATTATGGTATTCCGTCTCCCTGGCTTCAGGTTTGTGCTCATCTTGGTACAACCTATCTTAAATTTGTATGACACTTGTAAATCTTATCTTTTTTTCTTGGGTAGCCACTTGAGTGAAGCATATGATGTCGTGATTACATTTTGCAAATTGTGATGATATTCTTGTTGAGGGAAAAGTCTCCTGAGGTGCTGCTGTTAGATACTTATTTGTAGTCTCTCCCTCATTTTTCTCTGAACATGTTGGAGATTATTGGACTTGACAGAATATTTAGTACTTGAGTGTGATATTGATGTAAACAGAAACTCACGATGTCTCTTCCGCTGCAGGTTAAGACAATGAGGGCTCTTCAGTATTTTCCAACAGTTGAAGATCCAAATACTAGAAGATCATTGTTTGAGGTTTGAGTTTACATGTAGTTTTTTGGGGGATTTATTGACTAATCCTTTCATATGTCGATGTGCGAGGGCATCTATTTCACTGATATCTTTTGATTTCTATTCCTAACTTTTCTGTTTTTGGCTATCAGGTTCTGCAAAGAATACTAATGGGGACTGATGTTGTGAAGAATGTGAACAAGAACAATGCATCACATGCTGTTCTTTTTGAAGCTCTTGCTCTTGTAAGTTTATCTTTCCTAAAATGGTTTAATCTGAACCTGGTACATATTTTACATGTTTCAAGGATGTAGGGTTTTCATTTGTTTGTCACCCATATTGGTTATGAAACTCTTACGTAATGCAGCAGGAAAAATTTAAGACATTTCAGTATTAGATGAAAAAACTGGATGCTTTGGGGTTTGGGCAAGATCTGCTTTCTGATTTCTTTTCTTTCTTACATTTTTTTTTTTTAATATCATTTGGTTGATTGGTTGTGGTGGTGGCGGTGGTTTGCTGTAGGCAGCTGCGATGCATAGTTATAATAAGCGAATGGCGAAAGGTAGTGATTTGCTCACGGCCTGGCCTCGTGGCGTGAGGCGAGGTCATGGTGTCGCCTCATGAACATGCGGCCACAGTTAGAAATTACAAGACAATAAATGATACAATACATATTTAAGTGCAGATTGCAAAATTATCTTCAGAAATCCCAATCGCACTACTACAGAAGTCATTAGCGTGTAGCAATTACAAAAGACGAAACCTAGACATGAATCAACAAAAATATAAACCAATGTTTTGACAATGAGGGTATTGCCGGATTATTTCTTATTCCTTTTTTTTTTTGCCTGATTTTGTATTAAGACATCCATGCATTTTCAATAATGCCAAGACAAGATTCTGTATCAGCTTTCTGATGATGCTTAATCTGTCCACATGGGATTGCTGTACTGTAGCCTTGTCTTTTTAGAAATTACTGTGTCAATTTTCGGTATGGAAAGCTAGGTAATTTCGGCATTAACCAAATCTACTGAAGCATCTCCAGACCATGTGGCACTCCATACTTGTGTGTGTTACTTGATCTGATCATCAATTAAGTAGGCCAAATGGAATGCAGTGTTAATATTTCTATTATTTGAGTTTTGTTGAACTTTTATGACTAGTAGCGATGTTAAGTGATTCTAGCTAAGTGAAATCTCATGTGTATATAGACTTAAATGCTCTATTTGACGTACTTGTCAGTTATATAACATATGCCTCCAGAACACTTCATCTCTCTGAAATGGTAAATATCAACCAATCTCTCCCCTTTTCTAGATAATATAAAAAAAGAACAAATTAATGGATATACATATGTATAACACATCTCTCAAAGATATGAAAAGAGACTGTTCGATATATCGGAAATACTATTGGGGCTGTGTAGACTCAAAAGCAATATATAATAATTGTAATTCAATTCTCTGATTGCAGGTCATGCATCTTGATGCTGAGAAAGAAATGATGTCTCAGTGTGTTGCATTGCTGGGTAAATTTATCGCTGTTCGTGAACCTAATATACGATACCTTGGTTTGGTGAGTCTTTAGTCCAATATGAACTATAAATTGTTTTTAACTTCTCCTGTCTCTTGTTTTAACATTTTGTCCATTGCTGCATCTTATATGTGTTGTACGTCTATGAAATTTCTCTGCCCCATCTAATTGTCATGCCACTGGTTTCTCAAAACCTTATTTTCTAATGAAAATGCTTGCTAAGATCAGAGTTGATGCGATGCAGGAAAACATGACTCGTATGTTGATGGTCACAGACGTCCACGAGATCATCAAAAGACATCAAGCTCAGATCATTACGTCCCTGAAGGATCCTGATATCAGGTATATTATTGCTACTAAATGCTTTTTCAAGGCTTAGATTAACTGCTCAGTTATCACGTGTTGCCCCTAAACAGATGAAGTTGTTTTACAAATTTGTTGCATCATGTCATTTGCATGTTGAATGATCTCTTCATTTGGATTCTACTAAAACTCAATATAAGTAAGAGGTTAGGGAACTCATCTTTGTTTTAGTGTCGGTTGAGTGTAATAACTTTATCTGTATTTTACTTGCAATGATTTCTTTTGGGTCTCTCTGTTTTGGATTTTATCTATAAATGTTCAGTGTAAAAGTCCTGTGCTCTTGATTTCAACAATATATTTCTGCACCTTGAATTTGATCACGATCACATGCCCCAACAGTATCAGAAGACGTGCCCTTGATTTGCTATACGGCATGTGTGATGTTTCAAATGCAAAGGACATTGTTGAAGAATTGTTACAGGTTCACAATAACTTATAGTCTCCACTTGATAATTTTAGTTGGCTGCTAAACAAATAATTGACTTCCATTTGTTTCAGTATCTCAGCTCGGCTGACTTTGCAATGCGGGAAGAATTGTCACTTAAAGCTGCTATTCTGGCAGAGAAGTTCGCCCCTGACTTGTCATGGTATAAAATATGTTCGATGAATTACATTGACTTTTACTTATTTGTTTCTTTTACAAGGTTTTCTTGAAATGTGATGCGGATATAATATTATTATTAAGGAATATAATTATTAGTATAATTCTTCTTATTATTATTAGCATTTAATATTATTATTTAATATTTAGTAAGAGATCTTGTCTTGTTGGACAAGCTAGGAATAGGATTTAGGAGCCTTATTTAAAGGGCTCCCCATCTATTGTTTTATTCAGTTGAAGTTGATTATGAAATAAGAATTTGATATCGTGTTTACGTATTGAGAGATTGTAATCTCGTGTTATCATTTTCACCCGTATGCTTCCCTACATATGCTTCTTGAGGAGCTGGTGAATGAATGATTTAGAAAAGTATGAGAGATATTTGAAGTAATCATACAAGAATGAGAATGCTGATATGTTGTAATATCATTTCCAGTAATATTTTATTCAGTTGTTTAGTGTTTTATTAAATAACCCTTCTCACTTCTTGGCTTATATCTACTATGTACTGAATATGATCCATATGGAACTCATTTGTTTGAATATTCTGTGGGTGCACCTCGGATGTGTTTGATGTGCTCAGCTTGTTATTTATATTGTAATCTTCAAAGCTTTAAGATGGATGCATCACAACCATTTTAACATCAGAAGGTATTAACAATTTGGTGTTGGGTGATGAATGGTATCTTTCAAAATCACTGGACAGCCTACTTCTCGAATATTAAACTGTTCATTTAGTACTAGACGTGAACAGATGAATTCTGCTGAATAATAAACTATAGTATAGTACAATAGTTTCACTTTCTCAGGCACATTTGATGCCTTTGATTAACTTTTTTTTTTTTGGGATATGTTGCTTTTAAATCCTAAAGAATGTTCATTTGAATTCCAAATCCAACTGAGAGCTGGATCAAAACGTTGAATTTGATAATTTTCCCTATCTTTACATGTGAAACTTTTGTTGGTGCTCAATACCTGTAGAATGCGGGCTACGAACACTCATTCAGTTTGAGACAGTATCACTTCACTGCATAGCATGCTTCGGGTTAAAATTTTCATATCTATTTGTACCTCCTCTGATGCAGGTATGTGGATGTGATACTTCAGTTGATTGACAAGGCTGGGGATTTTGTTAGTGATGACATATGGTTCCGTGTGGTGCAGTTTGTTACTAACAACGAGGATTTACAGGTAAGTGAAGTTGGCTATTCATGTTACATATGTTATGTCTATAACTCTGTTACTAACTTTTAAGTTTCTGTAATAATATTTTTTGTATCCTTTCAGCCTTATGCAGCTCTGAAAGCCAGAGAGTATCTTGATAAACCTGCTATTCATGAGACCATGGTGAAGGTGTGTGATATGACTCCTTTATTGTATGATCTATCTTTAGATACTTTTTCAT